TTAAATGAGCATAAAAGTGCATAATATAAAATCATAAAAGAAATATTAACTAGAGGGAAAGGCAAGATTGAATAAGTGGGTTTTTAGTCGTGATTTGAACAGTGCAGTGGAATCAGATGAGCAGAGGTCGAGAGGAAGGGTATTCCACAGTACTGGGGCAGCCAGAGTAAACGCACGGTCACAGCCGAGATCTGGGTTGGGTCAGAAGTAGTTGAGTGGCAGATCTGAGTGTTCTAGCAGGAGTATGTGATTTGAGAAGTTCACTAATAGTTTAGTTAATTAATTCTTAGAATACTCAGATAAGATCAGATAACATGGATCAGTGTCTTAAGGAGCAGGTTTATGTACTGATTAAATGAGATAAAGAGAGCCGTGTTTTCATTCGTTTCTCTAGTAATCCTTAATGCTCCTGTTTCTTTCAGTCTTTGAACACTGATTCTTGAATGTTGAAATCACAAGTTGTTTGTTTTGGGTTTATTTTGTTTTTTAAGTTTTCCTTTTTGTTTTTGTTTCTTTTCTTCTTTTGTAACCCTTTATCTACATCTCCTTGTTGTCGCAATGAATTTTAAATACACAAATTTTCTTGTGTCACTTTAATGGATTTTACTTCTCTGCTTTAATCTTCATCAGTGAGGAGACGGAAGTCAAGGCAAAAATCATTTAAATGATACATCTGTGCTTCTGAAGCCGATTTAAAGCTCAATTAAATGTGATCATTGGAACAGCTTCATCATAAATTGTTTTCTTTTAATTCAACTAGTTTTGTTTTATCACAACATCTCTTTATGTTTAGAGCTACCTTTACACACAGACAAATAATGGAGGACAGGGATTTTTTAAAACCTGTTTGCCCAGCACGGGGATATTGAATTCTATAAGATAAAGCCATAAATATCTGTATGTGAGTCTTCTATCAAAAGTTATAGCTATCTTTATGAAGATGTACAAAAACGATTTAATTTTTTGATCACCCTAAAAGACTAAAACAGACGGAAACAGAAGTTTTAAGTCTTCCTCACACCATGGTTTATATATTACAGATGTGTATCTGTTACATTCGCTGACCTCTAGTGGCTATCCCTATGTGAGAGAGCCTTTTCTCCCTCTCCTGTGATCCAGGTCTGTCTCATGAGCCACAGCTGAGGTGTGTTGCAGCTCAAGCTCTTTTGTTGCAATTGTTTTCTCCTGTTTTTTGGCTGGACAGGGAGCTCAGCCATTGTTGTTTTTGGGTAGAGAGTTCTTGGGTTGTTTTTTAGTTAGAAAGGAGGTGCTTTGTTTGTTGTTTTGGCCTTGGAGACCCTGAAGAAAAGAGCTTCCCTGTGTTCAGTTTTATTTTAGTTGTTTTGTGTAATAAATGTACTTTGCGGGTTATCATTTCTTTTTCACTTTGTTACTCCCCATCCCAGACAACACTTTGTTTTTAAGTGGGGCGTAACAATATCATTCCTCTTTTAGACACTGAATGAAAGCATTTCTGCAAAGGACACTCCTTTGATCCTTCATCATAGCTCCTCCAAAAGCTTCTGAGTACTTGAGATATATTTTTCTAAATTTCAGATGGACAGAGGAGACAGGGTGATACAAATTAGAAAAACAAGAAAAACCTTTGGTCAGGTTTTTTACCTGTTAAGTTTCTTTTGTATCTTCTTTTGGCTCTGTTGTCTGGATTTGTCCCTGCATCTGTCAGTGTCACATCATTGCTTCTTGTAGCAATTTATATATATTTTTTTTGCAGGTGAACTTCCAATTAAACACTTAAATAAAAAAAATTACAGCTAATTATTTTCCATTTTCAAATGCAATTTTTTAATTTCATTTAGTCAAACAAAAATGTCTCCTATATGCTTAATTAAAGGAGCTGGTGTGTTGCCTGATGGTTTTGTTGGATCACTATGACAACAATTCCACACACACCCACACAAAACATCTCCAACTTCACATCCCAGTATTTCCTTTGGAGAGGCAAAGCATGAAATGGACAAGGTGGACCAGCGTGTCTGTTACCCGTTTTGGTGTGATATTGGTTGATCTTCAGGACCAACATCTAGACTCTGGGACGGGCTGGGTTCCTGTCTTGTGTTCTATCACTGCTGTGATGGGTCATTGGAGCCTAATTGCCAAAATAGATCAATTAATTTCTCTCTGACAATAAATCATGTTGAATTCTTCCAAGTGACACATCCTGTTACTAGCTGTTACAGTACAGAAGGAAAGCTTAATGTGATTAAACAGAATCTGACACAAACATTTAGTAGAAAGGTTTGTTAATGATTAACAAGTTCATGAAGTTTAACCTTTCAGAATAACAACATTACTTCCTTATGACACCATATACTGAATGAACATTCATGTACCGGTATCAGCAAAGGAAAAGGCAAAGAGTGAAGGACTGCTTTAAAAAATGGGAACATTTTCTGATGTACTTGTGATATACTTCTTCATTTTTGGGTCCATCACAGGTGAGCTCTCACTGCTTGATGTGGCAGAAAAAACTGTCTGCTCACACTGACTTTAAAGTTTTACTTTTTTTATTGTTTGTTTGTTTTTTAGTTTATGAGACATCTGTTGAATACATTTCTAGTTTATGTTTAATCATATGTAACCTGAATACATAAGCTCAGATAACATGGATCAGAGAAGAAGCAGGTTTGTACAAAAGTATTTTAAATGAGAGCAGGAGAGCAGTGCCATGGTCCTTATAATTCTCTAGTAATGCTTAGTTTTCCTCGTCCTTTGTGTCATTCTTCATTGATCGTTAATTGTTCATCATGTGGCTTTAACTCTTTTTACTTCTCTGATTTGTTCTTCATGAATATATAGAGAGAAGAGTGGAAACAAAAGACATTTAAAAGACAGTTGAGTGCTTCCTTCTGAATCTCAGTTTAAATCTATTCCAATTAAACCCCATAGTTCGTGTCTCCTTTCTCCTCCGGAATCAGGACTTGGGACACCTTTTTCAAGACTGATTTCAGATGGAGGACAGAGGAGACAGGAGGAATATGGGAAGCCTTTGATCAGGTTGTTTCAGTTGGCTCCCCTGTTGGCTACCTGTTTCTAGATTATGTTGTACATGAATCGGTCAGTGTCAGTTTTGTTCCTTGAATTAACCTGCTGTGTGTGCTTCTTTTTTCTTTTCTTTTTTTCCAATAAAACCTCTAATGAAAATAACGTGACCTTTTCAGACTTGCTTTATTTTCTACAGATTAATTAAACTTTTTGAGATTTTTTATATATGTGACTGGACATCTGGACGTCTTTATAGCAACATTTCAAGTTTTACATCTTGCACTAACACAGTTGCACCACTTGAGGGAGGCATCCTGCAAGTTTTCTGTTGCATGAAACTGACACTGCATCTTGTTAAGTAGAGCTTCATTCACCATACTGAGTCAGTAGATTTTTGGTCAGTTTGATAGTAAAACATTCCTAACTACACACTTCACGGGTATTTAATTAATGTCTTTGTTACTACAGCTTCTTGTTGTTTTTGTGACATTTGCAAGTAAATCTCAAAATTAATATGTTCAGTATAACTTGTGGTCTCTACAAAAAGTCATATTTTCCTTCGGTTGTTCGCCAAGGGCTTAGAATAGTAACAAGTCACCAAAAACAACAGCTGGTTAACAGTTTTAATAACCACGTGATTATGCAGCGAGTTCCTGAAACTCAATCAGAATTATGTGCAGTATTATCTGGAAAAGCAGACATTAGACTTTAATGAAAATAACTCTTAATCTTTATATATTCCACAAGTGTTTTATATGTTTGAGTAACAACAGCACTTTTCTATTCTTCTCCCGCAGGTTTCACTGAAGGAGATGGTGTGTTGCCTGATGGTCTGAATGCAGCTGTAGGAGAAACGGTGATGTTCACTATAACACTGTCTCCAACAGAGAAACCGTTTCAATCTGTGACCTGGAATGTTAATTTCTCTACAACTATACTAGTCATGATTAACTCAGAAGAAACTATTGCACCTGAGTATGAAGGCAGGATCACCTTCTTCCCATCTACTGCGTCTTTGGAGCTCAGGACTCTCACTCTGGATGACACTGGACATTACACTGTTAACATTATACAAGATGGAAAAGCCCAGCAGGG